AACATCTTCAAGAAAAATAAGGCAAGTCCAGTTACCTTGACTTATTTTTTACAGATATACCATGACCTGGATGAATGAGAACCTTCACAGAGTGCTACTTCCTTCCTCTAAAGCCTGACTTAGTTATCTGTTGTGGGCACAGGCCTCAGAAGAGCCTTCATTCAGTTTGATTGACGATCCTGCTCACCCCTGCGCCCTGCTGCCATGATATTTGGTCATGTAACCAAGAACTGGGGAACTGTGGGATCTCCTTGATGTGGCAGACAGGTAAGGCTACTATGTCCATTCACACTACTGCACGTATTATACAGGCATTGGTGCACTGCAGTGCCATTGTGAAGGGCTTCCCAACTCACACCTGCGGTGCAGTATACCATAATGTGAGGTAACACACTACCGTGTATTGATGTGTGCTGCAGGGATGATTTTATGGTCCATCATGACGGATTAGGCGTCCCATTCATAATGAATGGGCTTTCTTATTGCAATGCCTGTTAGAGCACTTCATTGGCACCCTACGCAAAGTACCTGATGCTTTGGAATGCTTTGTCCATACAGGTACACCTAAAGGGTATCTAGTATTAGTTTTGCATACTAAGGGGTTAAACCCAGTCAGTATTATATGGCCGTCTTTGAGATTTACTCTTTCTGTTTGACTTGGTGGCCATGCCAACAGGAATAAAAATTAGGGAAGATAAAAAAAAGAACAAAGAGAAATCTTCCAATGGAGGCACTTGTCCTTTGGGATCTATATGACAGGAAGTGAAAAAATATCTGCCCAATGGGACAGAAGGCAAAAACAATCCCGTTAGGGGTTTATTGAAAGCCTAGTCTTTTCAAAACAAAAACAAAAAAGTCCTAGCTGTAGATATATGTTAAATATTGAACATTAGGGACTGGTATACAGGATGCCCCGATATACAGTACACACAAAGGTGCAGCCTAGATCACAGAGGTCTACGTGAAGGAGTCACTGATCTGAAGAAACCCAACACCTTGGAGGTATACAATGGAAATACTTCTAAATGTTGACATCTCCAAATTTACCCCTGCTGTATTTAGCTCACTCTCACTCCTATAGGTTTATAAACCACCCTTCCCTTTCTTCTACATGGATCCAGTAAGTAGCATTCTAGGACCTTCTAGGACATGTCCAAATTACAGGAATACGACATCCATTCATGTTACCAACATCACCTGGAGAAGTTATTTGGATGTTCTCTGTAGGTAATTGCTCTTGTCTCTCATTATATCATAGTTAAAAAAAAACTGTATCCAAACTTTTTTTTTTTAGGTTTGGATAGGGAACGTCTGTCAGCTGTTTTTTAGCCATCCCATTGGGAACATTTCTCTTCACTTCCTGTCCGATAGCCACAACAGTAAGTGAGAGGAAATCCCTGGTGGTCAGCAGGGTCACTAGAACTAGTGTTCCCATTGGAAGATTTTAAGTCTATTCCTGTTCTGGTGACAATCCAAAATTTGGGATTTTCTTTCACTGATAAGTCACCAGGACACAGAGCGGGTAAATCTCCCTATACAAGCGGCAATAATAAATTGACAGGGGCTCTGATCCCTCTCCACTCTATCCAGAACTAAGGAATACATTTGGCTCAATGGCAGTGTGAGTCCTCCTGGCCCTGTAACTGGTTAGTGTTCAATATGAAGCTCAGTGTGGGTCATGGATCACAGTATCAGCAAGAGCCACGTGTCATCCAGTATTTTTGAAAGGAAAACTTGTTTGCTGGCATACATGGTTCCTTCATGCCAGAAAAAGTGTGCTAGCAAATTTCAGCATAAAGAAGCATATGAAGATCAAGTGTATATATGGTCAAAACTGCTGTTTCTGGATAAAGTAGTGGAGTAGAATCCCTTGTCAAGTATTTATTGCTGTCTTTGTGCCCACTGGGTAGATATACCCTCTCTATTTGGACCGGCGACCCTTGTCAGCAAGACAGAAGGTGATGGTAAATGAAAACTTTCACTAGGGATGCACCAATACCGATATTTCGGTATAGAGTACGAGTACTGATCTTTTTTTTTTCCGGTACTCGCCGATACTGAATACCGATACTGGAAGTCCCATTAAGGAAGCCAGGCGCCGTGTAATGACTCGCCACCTGGCTTCCTGATTAGGTGACGAGAAAGCATGGAGTCGGCTTTCGGTCCAATCAGGAAGCCGGGCGCCGTGTAATGACGTGGCGCCCGACTTCCTGATTGGCTGGGAAGCTGGCTCCATGCTCCCTCGTCATTTGTGATTGGCTGGGAAGCTGGCTCCATGCTCCCTCGTCACTTGTGACGAGGGAGCATGGAGCCAGCTTCCCAGCCAATCAGGAAGCCAGGCAATCTATAATGACTCGCTGCACGGCTTCCTGATACCGGAAGTATTGGGCTAGGCATTGGAGCATTTGGGCAAGTACGAGTACTCGGCCAAATACCCTGCATCGGCACCGATACACATACCAGTAGGGGTATCGGTGCATCCCTAGTTGTCACCAGAACAGGACTTGAGGGTAAATCTTCCAATGAGGACACCTGTTCCAGTGACGGCAAAGTTTTGCCTATACATTGGGTGGAAGTTTTCTACACAAAGCCCTATTTACTGAATACATATTAAATGGAATAGAGAGCTGGTCAATAGGTGTTCAGTTATATGCAAGCTCCACAATACTGATGAAGGGAAAGAAGCGGCAGATTTGTTTTCCCATACAGAACGGTGAGGCCATCAATATGTGAGCAGCTGTAAGGTTCTCACTACCTCTCTCAGTCCAGGTCACCAGGACATCTATGGGTGCTGGTCAGCAGCCATCCACACTCCACAAATCCAGAAATGAAAGAAAAAAAACTGCACACCAATGTCCGTAGACTATTAACTTTATTCCATGATAATTACAGCTTCAAACGTGACAGGACTCCCCGACCAAACATTGCCCACCACTGACGCATTTCACCCTTATGGGCCTAATCATAGAGATAACGGTGGATGGATGTCTGGTTTATTCAACAACCAAACCCAAAGGACAGTTTTTGCAGCCAGAACAAGACACAATGGGAAATCTTTTAGATAGAAGAAAAGTAATAAATCGTGGGAGCAGTCTTATTGGCAAAATCATCTGCTTGATAGCGACCAATCAGGCGCCTCCTGTCATGCTCCCATACCACATAAAGAAGCAGATTGGTTGCCTCGGGCCACAGTTGTTTGCTCAGACTCTTTTGATCGTGACACCCTGTATTCACAAAAATCAGAAGTATATTTCATGCTTCTTTTAAATGTCCCAGTTTTGCCTGAGATAAAATTTTAATTTTCACCGCACCTCAAGCTGGGTTCTCTATCCCCCGTGAGTCTGAGTCAGGAAATTGCTGAAGTGGCTGACGTCCAGATCGGAGCCTTGAGGGAAACACAGTTACCTGCTGATATTATGTTTCCACTTGCAAGCTCTGTGCAGCTTACCATGTCTAGTAACGCAGCACCGTGCTTTAATCCAGTGCAAATTATATGGGAGTTCGGTGGAGTGTGAAATGCCATATAGGAAAGTTAATATATATCAACGCTGCTGAGATGCGCTATTCATAGCATTCTTTATGGTGAATGGATACAGTATCTTTACAGGCTGTGTTTCTTTGCCAAAGCTGGAGTTACAACTCAACTGTGGAATGCATTAATATTATACAGACCTGCACTGTACTTATATCCAGGCATACGCAGGATTGGATTACAGCTGCTCTCCCTTTGGGAAAGGAGGGAATTGGCTCCTACTTAACTTTCAGAATAAAGTAGTTATAAACCCAATCTTTAAAATATCATATAAGATGAGCATGTTAGTGTGATTTGAAAAGTTGCTTTCAGTTATTTTAAGTCTGTAGTTTCATCAGAATACCTTTAGGCCCTGCTGTGAAGGTCCTAGTTCATGCACTTCCTGTTTTAGTGCGACTACAGTCTCCATATTGTGATTCTGCATTGTCAGCCTGTCACATATGCCCTTAGTGGAGACTACAAGTGGTCCTTCTGACACACATTATACCGGCATGGCCCAGCATTGTTACTGCTATTTGGATGGATTGGTATGTACATTACGAGACAGGTTTTCCCATCCAACATCAATACCTTTAATAGATATTACACCGTACACCTTACCCTGGTATAGCCCTTGTGGGTGGTGCTGAAGTGACTGCGGATAGCGCTGCTCATGTCCAAGTAGATACAGTATGCCACCAGCACACCAGAAACAAGTGTCCATTGTCAATCGAGACTTGGTTCTGCTGTGCCGGTGACATACTGTATCTACGTCAACATCAATACCTGACCTCACAAATTCTCCTTTAGTTGAACATTTTCACAGACACACTTCAGAATTTTCTAGAAAGCCTTCCCAAGAGTGAAAGTAGTATTATCCACAAAAGAGCTACCAACTCCATATTAATACCCAATAATCCATTATTCCAATACTTCATATTGGAATAGGATGTCCAGAAGCTCATAAAGGCGTGTTAGTCAGGTGTCTACAAACATTGGTCAGGTGTCTACAAACGTTGGTCAGGTGTCTACAAACGTTGGTCAGGTGTCTACAAACGTTGGTCAGGTGTCTACAAACATTGGTCAGGTGTCTACAAAGGTTTGGCCATATAGTGTTGGAAATTGTAGTGTGTTTCATGGCACCGAGGTCTGGTATCACCACTTCTATACAGAATATTCTTAGAGATACGACGTTCTATATACCTATGTTATCCCCCTGGCATCAAGCAATTCAGCATTCCCAATGGACAGGGGAATATTAAAAGAGAGTTTGTACCAGCAAAACATATCATATATGATATGAGGATCATGAATCTAGGTAGATCATATTTACTATTATAAAGTATATTATTTCGCTGCCCTTACAGTATCAGATTTGCCCCACAGATGGAGTTATAATTTAAACATATGACATTTTATATATAGCAAAACCATTCTTTTTATTGCATGGACGTAATTTAATATTTTTTTTTCTTCTCTCCCTTTGCAGTTTTTCCCATACGGAGATGCATCAAAGTTTGCCCAACACGCTTTCAGAACCTTCGATAAAAACGGAGATGGAACCATTGACTTCAGAGAGTTTATATGTGCACTGTCCATCACTTCAAGGGGAAGCTTCGAACAGAAACTTAATTGGGCTTTCAATATGTATGACCTGGACGGGGACGGCAAAATCACCCGAGTGGAGATGCTGGAGATCATTGAGGTTAGTAAGTTCTCCTTGCCAGTTCTGTGCCATCTATATAGAGCCTGTCAGCATATCTAGAGACAAAAGCCTTTCATGGTTGATAAAATAGTAATTTATATAAATCGAATACGGGGAATGAGACATTTCCTGCTGCCACTTTGTTTTATTAACTAGAATGTGACAGCCATGAACTCTGATTGTAGCGAATGGGATTACTTCAGCCCATCATGATGGCTAGTACCTGTAAGAACAAGCGCACATTTCCCAGTCAATGATCTCTGGGGAATATTTGAAAGTCAACACCTTCAAAAATAGTAAATGCCATTTTTTTATATGGCAGGCCTCATCTACTTTGAACCCTTCCTTCCACAGTCTGTATCAAAAAAATCCCTCGGTGCATGCACCTTGCTGAGGATATGTTTATAAATGTCATCCCTTGTGAGCTACCAGCAGGCATGGAGGCAGGCTGTCAAACCTGGCTGTCAGTGACAGCTGCAGACCCCACTACTGATCAAGAACCAATAACAGTTGTTTCCAATCATGTGACCTTTATGTAATTTACAACATAGTGATCACATGCAAGCGGAAGCCTTCATTTAGAAAATAATGGTTTCAGTTGTCGGATACAATTTTGTTGTATAAAAATTCATCATTAATAAATAAATAAGGGTTATATAAAAATAATGTACAAAATTCTCACTGTGTTCACGGGGTGGCAGGGTTAGTTTTAACCCTGCCGCTCTGCTCACTGCATCGGCGGCAGGGACAGGAGAGAGATTCGGCGGCCGGGGGAGGACGGAGTCCCGAAGACCAGCGGAGAGAGGTAGGTGCGGGGGAAGGGACTGCACACATATTACAAGTGATCGCGGCGACATCGCCGCAATCACTTGTAAACGAAGTTGGCCGGATTCCCCACTTGGCGCCCGGAACTACATGTTCCGGGCGTCAGGGGACTCCACGGCGCTGCCGCCCCTCTGCTACGTGCCGCCCCGAGGCCGGGCATCGGTGGCCTTGTGGGGAATCCGGGCCTGTGTGCACCCTGTGGCAGTACTGTTAGAGTGGGGCAGAACACAGAGCCAAACAAAGAGCAGTTTCAGTAGGCGAACCCCATTTTTGGTCTGTCAAGCAACCTCTGGCCACCTATGGGTAAATTCAGTGTCAGAGCTGAAGGGTATCAGGAACTGCTGAGAAAAGTAACGGGGCTCAGTTGTTTTTGATTAGCTGCACGCATTTTGATTGGACTGAATTGAGCAGTGCTAGCAGTGCTTTTATTAACCCTAGACAGCAGGCAGCATTTACTAATGGTGGCAGGATGCCCTGGAGCATGCATAGCTGCATAGAGAAGACCTACGGCCATAGGCTATCTGTCCTTCCACGTGGTCACCAGAACAAATAGAGAGTGAATTTGCTCTGTGAGGTCAGAAATAAAAAAAAAAACTTGACAGTGGTTCTAACTCATTACTGTTTTTCAAAACTAAGAAAAAAAGTTTGACTTTAGATGCACTTTATTTTTTTTAATAGTAATTATTTACCATGGTTGGGGAGAGGAGCAGTGGAACCTGTACAGAAATGTATCATTGGGCACATATACCTAGAGGCAGCATGATATAAAAATACAGCCCTGGTCACAAGCCATGTTTGATATAGGAGGACTACTTTAAGTATTTCACCAAGAACATTCGTGTCTGCGCAACAGAGCGCCGTCCTTATGTGTGTAGCACAGCCATCGCACCCCTGTGTGCAGATCTGTGTAAATATCGGCACCCTGCCTGCTTCCTGCGTACAGCTTCCATAGCATTACTTAGTGATGTCATAGGAGAGTAATGACAGATGATGTACTGCATCCCTCCAGGTGCTGTTTAAAATGAATGTGTTTGTCATATTCTGCACCACTGAGTGCATAATTCATAAAACTAAGAATGTATTAACACAGCATTGTGACAGTTTGCTGGAACACTGTAACTGCATAGTAATGTGTTTCTTACACACTACACTTGCCATGTACCCGGAGGTTGCAATCCTGCACTGAAAGATGCTTTAGAAGGGAAATCAGGATGCGTAGACATACACTGGGTTCCACAGCTACAAGAAGATCTACACCTAATATTTAAAAGCTCAGAAAATATGTAACATTCATGATTCCAAAAGCTGTTTTCAGGTTTTTAAAATCTGCAGCCATTATTAAAAGGATCCTACTATGGTGATCCTTTCTACAGATTTCCTGTTATAGGGTGACAACTTCCTCTTTGTGCTCCTGCATTCTTATCCTGTCTTACGTTTCCCTGGTTGAGTCTACACATTGAGTAGGCACAGTCCATCACTGTCACTGTAAGGGAGCCAGTCCAGAGCAATGATGTGCAGCCGATGCTGGGGTGAGTGCATGTAGGTAGGAATTGAGTGAAAGAGGATGGAGAAGACCAGCAGCACTGAAAGATGCAAGAAAAGGGGAAAACAAGGTTAAAAAACTATTTTGTAAAAACAAAGTTGGCTTCATCAAACTAAATGTCCAGTTAGGGTTTGGATGTAAAACTCACCTCTTTGTAATTGCCCCCCTTTCTGGCTAAAGGCCAGCAAAGCATCCACAAAACACCCATAGGGGGAAAAAAAAAAAAGATCTTGTTCTTCCCTTTCTTCCGGCTTCCATAATGCAGACAGTGAAGACATCCTGCTGCCAACAAGATGCTGGAGAATGCGGAGTACTCTAAATCTTGCTAAAAGAAGCTACATCATAATGTCTTCTCAGTGAGATCTTCTCAGCGGGCCTTCTTAACAAGTTTACTCAGTGAGGTCTTCTCAGCTAATCTTCTCAGCAAGGCCTTCTTACTGAGTCTTCTTAGCGATGCCTTCTTACCATGTCTTCTCAGTGAGGTCTTCTCAGTGAGTTTTCTCAGCGAGTCTTCTCAGTGAGGTCTTCTTACCGAGTCCTCTCAGTGAGGTCTTCTCCATGAGGTCTTTTTACCAAGTCTTCTCAGTGAGGTCTTTTTACCAAGTCTTCTCAATGAGGTCTTCTCAGTGAGGTCTTCTTACCGAGTCTTCTCAGTGAGGTCTTTTTACCGAGCCTTCTCAGTGAGGTCTTTTTACCGAGTCTTCTCAGTGAGGTCTTTTTACCGAGTCTTCTCAGTGAGGTCTTTTTACCGAGTCTTCTCAGTGAGGTCTTTTTACCGAGTCTTCTCAGTGAGGTCTTTTTACCGAGTCTTCTCAGTGAGGTCTTTTTACCGAGTCTTCTCAGTGATGTCTTTTTACCGAGTCTCCTCAGTGAGGTCTTTTTACAGAGTCTCCTCAGTGAGGTCTTCTTACCAAGTCTAATCAGTGAGGTCATCACAGCAAGTTTTCTCAGCGAGGTCTTCTTACCGAGTCCTCTCTGTGAGTTCTTCTTACCGAGTCTTCTCAGTGAGATCTTCTCCGCGAGGTCTTCTGATCAAGTGTCTTAATGAGGTTTGGAGTACTCTATATTCCTTAGATCTCTTCAGAATGAGGATGATGTCACCCTAACTAAGGCGCTGTGGCCCTTTATCCTTATCCCCCCCTCCCTTTTTTTATGTTAAACCTGCATTTCGAAAAGGTGCAAGGAGACAGGCCACTTAAAAAGCTAGCCTACAGGACCATTTTAGGTGCAAGGTCCACTTCAAAAATGACCATATACCTCTAAAGGAACAATTCTCAACTGGCAGCCTAGAACCTACAGATAGACAGTTCGTTCAAAGCTTAGGTGGGCTACATTTTTATTGCATTGGCTTCACACTGTCCACAAAAATTAGAAAGCTAAATGTTGTTCATCATAAAAGGTTATCCCCTATGCAGGGCCAGGCCAAGGGGTAGGCAGAAGAGGTGCCTACCTATGCTGCTGTTCATGTGGGTACTTTAGTCTCTTAGCTTTGGGTGCCAAAGAACCTTGTCCCGCCACTGCCCCTATGTGTATTTTTCATTTGGTTATGCCCCCAGCAAATCTTACGTAATACCTGTTGATCATGCCAGAGCCCTTTACATCAATTGCGTCCACAAGGAGCGCCACTGCACGGGTTAAGATTATTTCTGCCCGGAGTTCTTCTTTAAAGGAGAATTATGAAGTGAGTGAAAATCACTCATCCTCATAGTTCGAGCCGATGTGTGACAAACTGTCACACGTCGGCTCAATAGATCGGGAAGTGAGCGAACACATACCGTAGCTCGCTCACTTCTCGATCATCTCCCTGCAGAGAGCCGTGACGTAACAGTCACAGCTTCCTGCTCCGATCCTCCAGTGCTGACTGGAGGAACGGACGGGAGAGGGGGCGGGCACAGCTGGCTCTGCCTCTAGATAGGTGGGCTGGGTGGATCTCGGCAGTAATGTCGGGATCCGTCCCGGATGCGGCTGTAGCTTGCTATATACTGAGCTTTGGGTCACGGGAGGACGATGGGGAAAAACACTGACCCCATAGTTCTCTTAACTATTTTGTATAGTTGTAAATATTTATAACTAGATTTGTTGCTTTAGTTTGATGTTGTCACACTGTACAGACTCTCCAAGTGCGGTTATAAGGAACGTTCCGAGCTACCAGCATGAGTCACCCTTGAACGGTTCATCCACAGACGTAGTAATGTCTCTTACGTAATCTGTATAACTTGGGGATAAAAGAACATTTTTAGCTGCACTTTCGGGCATTTCATGTAATTAAAATGTATTCTTGTTTTCTTGCGACGGCACTTAGAAATGCAGACTTGTTTCTGGGTGGTTTTTATATCCGACCGACCCAAGTCATGAATAAAGTATTTTTGCATGACCCAATTTAACGTTCTTCAAACTTCCTGGCGCCCCAGTTCAGCGACTGGAGCGTTTTTAGCTAATCCGCTGTTCTAATTCTCTCTTAAGGGGTCTGCATAGACGCGTTCCGCATTGCCAGCTGAGCGGCTCGTGCCGAGAAGGGGGGGAGCCCGCAGTCGCAGTGCAGACTCATTAAGCATGGCCATGACGGGGCTGAGGCTACGGCAGGGGCTGAGGCCATGACGTGGCTGAGGCTACGGCAGGGGCCACTTTTCACTTCTCGGCAAACATTGACTTGATTTTGTGCCCCGGCTCAATGAACCAGCAACTATACAGAGGTTCAGTGATCCGGAGTGGCTGGGCTGTCGCCATTAAAGCTTTGCATACTAAGCAAGCCGGAATCCAACAGGCTAATTAACGACATTAATCAGACTTTGGTCTCCAAGGGCAGAGACTGCGTTTGCTGGGCTTTCAGCCGTACATGCGTTTAAGGTATTTCTGCCATTATTATGAATACTGGTGACTTATGGTTACCAGCAAAGGGTGCTATAGCAACCCAGTACAGATTATTCAGGGCTATTAACAGGGGGCCAGTTGTAGGAAAGCAGCTGGAATGATCAGGATTTTTCTCTATATAGTCCTTTATTTGATAGATCAGGGGTGGGCATACTACAACTCCCATCATGTAACTGTCTCTGGGAGTCATGCCTGTGGCTTTGAGACTCTTACAATGCCTCATTCCACAAGAGCTGGAGGGCCGGAGTTTGCCCATTGCTGGTATAGATGAATTATTAAAGATACCCTGTTAAAGATTAGTATCTATTATTATGTCATTAATTGTACTTTACTTGAATGTAAGTATCTGAATTTGACTCAATATCAGTCGCTTGTTGTCTCTATACAGCAGAGCTCAGTCTGTGGAAGTGAGAAGCAGCACAAAGAGCCGGTCCGTTGTGTTGCAGTGCAAGGAGCATGCTGAAAGAAGTAGCGAGCAGAGTGACAGAGATATGAGCTAATCAGCCTGCCGCCTCTCTTTTCACTGTTTAGTCCTCCTTTTCCTGTCCCTACCCTATATGCCGTCTGAGGCTGTAGAGCGCTTTTTGACTGCTGCTGATAGTGCATCTTGGGTGGGGGTGGCACTGGCACAGAAGGTGCTGAGGACTACAATTACTATCAGACCTTGCAGCCTTCCTACGGCTGTTATTGACTGAGGAGGGGTGGGGCTAAGTGTGATGCAACTGGTGGGTGGAGCAAGCCACTTCCCTAAAGGTGACCGTGCTAGGGGGAAGTACACCATCACACTGCCGAAGTTTGTAGTTTTGCAGTGGCCGCAGTCTGCACCCCGTGACAACACTCTCTGGAATGCAACAGTCTGCATATTGGGTTGTCACCATGATGGAGAAAGCGAACATTATATTACCAAATAGAATGAATGCAGCTTTGTAATCATTAATACATCATTAAAGCAGAACTCCAGGGAAAACAAGTTTAACCGTTGCAGTGGGACTACCCCCTCACTGCAGGGGTTAACTGCTTGTTTTTACCTAGGGTCAAAAATAAAAAAGTTATACTCACCGGATCCTCCGAGCCGTCTTACTCTTAGAGACCGGTCCCTTCCGCCTCGGTCCCAGAGTCATCACATTGTGCACACAGTGTATAGACATGAGGACGCAGAGGGACATACCATCGTTGCAGAGCATACGTATTAGTCTTTGGGATGGAGTGTGGAAGGTCAGGCGTTTATTGCTGTCTGTGTCCTAACCAGGGAGATATACTCCTAGTTCATCAGCGAGATGGAAACTGAGGGTAAAGCTAAAAGTTTCTGTTGTCACCAGAGCAGAAATAGAGAGGAAAACTTCCAATGGGAAAGTGACAATTTCCATTCACTTCCTGTTGTGCCCCTGAGGACAGAGACAGCAAAAAAAAAAAGACAAAACGTAACTGGTGTTTTTTAAAACTAACGCTTGCAGTGGGGCTACCCCGGGTACTGCTCGCTTTGGTCTAAGGGCTAAAATAAAGAAAATATACCCCCACCCCACCCCCGATCCTTGGCTCCTCTGGTCTTCTAGACTGGTCCCCACAGCCTCTTCTCCTTTGGGTTCCGAGGACCCGTGATGTCAACATGCCTAATACAGTTGCATTAGACGTGAGGACGCTGATGGACATTCCACCACCAGAGCAGAGAGAGAGGTGAGTGCTCACTGCCACTGGACTGAGGATCAGGTGAGTATATTTCCTTTATTTTACCCCCTAGACCAAAACGAGCAGTTCACCCTTACACTGCACGGGTTAGGTCTACAATTCCTGGAGTTCTTCTTTAAGCTGGCCATAAACCGATACGAATGTTCTTGTGACAAATCTTGTCAGAACATCCAATAATGTCCATCAGAGACTTGACACTGGCTTCCAATCGCCCAGAGGATAACATTCAAAATATTAACAGCCACTTACAAAGCCATCCACAACTCCGCCCCCGGATATATGTCAAACCTGGTCTCAAAGTATCACCCTAACTGTCCCCTCTGCTCTTCCAAAGACCTCCTGCTCTAACTTTCCTTGTCAACTCTCTCCTTTGGAACTCCTCACCCCAACCTGCCCATCTATCTCCCACTCTGACTGCCTTTAGACAATCCCTAAAGACTCATCTCTTCAGGGATGCCTATCCCTCCTCAACCTTACCACTGAACCATCACATTCTCAAACAATTCATCCCCTCACAGCTACCTCCTCATGTATCACTTGCCCCTCCCTTTTAGATTGTAAGCTCTTGAATTGTATTGTAATTGTAATGTCTTCCTGCAAACTGTTGGCGCTATATAAATCCTGTATAATATTAATACAAATGTCTCATTCACCCCCTTATTAATGTTCCCCCATGTGAATGACCAGAGCTGCCATGTCCGGGGTTGGTCTTTAGGAAGGAGTAAAAAGGGGTCAATGGAAAGACAGGAAATACGGAGAGAAGAAAAGGTGGTGGAGCAATTTCTTCCACAAAGTTCACCATATTCCTACATTGTACCCTGTGAATTGTGCCCCGTCACTCTCTATGACCGCCAACAGCCCCCAGGGAGCCAAATGAGTAATGACTGTTCCTTTCTCCCTTACCTAGGCTATTTATAAAATGGTGGGCACTGTGATCATGATGAAGATGAACGAGGACGGCCTGACGCCCGAGCAGAGGGTAGACAAGATTTTCAGCAAGATGGATAAGAACAACGACGATCAAATCACACTGGACGAGTTCAAAGAAGCCGCAAAGAGCGACCCTTCCATCGTATTACTGCTCCAGTGTGACATTCAGAAATGAGCTGGGTCCCCCCCTTCCCCCCACAAACCGGCGCGTTTCGGACTGCACAGAAATGTCAATGTTCCATTCAGTTTGCAGCTATCTCCACAACGAAAACCGAAAAAGAAAAAAAATCAACAAAAAATAATTGCTTGGACTACCTATAAATGGACTTGCTTCTTGTGTTTG